TTTGGGCAGGCCCCAAGGTCAGAGAAAGGAGGAGTTCTCTCTCGCCCCTGTTGTCCCTGTTCTCGCCGGTCTGTTGGAGCACGAGGTTACCTTCGTCCCCGACTGTGTTGGTGATGTCGCTATCAAGGCCTGTGCCGCCCCTGCTCAGGGAAGTATCATCCTTCTCGAGAACCTCCGATTCCACATTGAGGAGGAGGGCAAGGGTGTCAATGCTAACGGCGAGAAGGTCAAGGCTGCTGCTGAGGACGTTGCCGCCTTCAGAGCTGATCTTACTAAGCTCGGTGATGTGTTCGTGAACGACGCCTTCGGAACTGCCCATCGGGCTCATTCCTCCATGGTCGGCGTTCAGTTGCCCGTCCGTGTTGCCGGTCTGTTGATGGCCAAGGAGCTCGAGTACTTCGGCAAGGCTCTTGAGAACCCCGCTCGTCCCGTTCTCAGCATTCTCGGTGGTGCCAAGGTCGCTGATAAGATCCAGCTCATCAACAACATGCTCGACAAGGTCGATCTTATGATTATTGGTGGTGGTATGGCCTTCACTTTCGCCAAGACCCTCTACGGTACCAGAATCGGTGGCTCCTTGTACGACGCTGAAGGTGCCAAGATCGTCCCTGAGTTGATGGAGAAGGCCAAGGCTAAGGGTGTTGAGATCCTTCTCCCCACTGATTGGCTCTGTGCTGATGCCTTCTCTAATGATGCTAACACTAAGGTGTGCACTCAAGAGGAGGGAATCGATGATAAGTGGATGGGTCTTGATGTCGGTCCGGAGTCCACCAAGCGCAGCATTGAAATGGTCAAGAAGGCCAAGACCATCGTTTGGAACGGTCCTCAGGGCGTGTTCGAGTTCCCCAAATTCGCCACTGGTTCTCTCGCCGTTTTGGATGCTGTTTGCGAGGCCACCAAGGAGGGTGCAATCTCTATCGTTGGAGGTGGTGATACTGCCGCTATGGTTGAGCAGGCCGGCAGGGCTTGTGAGATCTCTCATGTCAGCACTGGCGGCGGAGCCTCTCTTGAGTTGCTCGAGGGTAAGGAGCTTCCTGGTGTTGTTGCTCTTAGCGGTAAGAACTAAGTCTCTATTGTTTACGATATAGCAGTAGCACAGAAGTTGTCGCGGATTGCGACTCTGTTACTTCCACATACAGTTTTTTGGTGAAATGCCGTTCAAAGTATAATGCGTATTGAGTTGTTGTAGTGATTTGGATAATGTACTCACCAAATAGTGGGGCAGCTATGCCACTTGAATGTGTGCCTCAATAAACTCGCTTTTACAATAATATGAGGGTTACCTCCGTTAGCCATCCGAAGTAATTCCGATTTCCACGAAATGCAGGATTTATTTGTGGTCTAAATGGCGTAATTAGACCATCTCTGAGTGGCATAGCTGCCCCGCTCTGATAAAGTGGTTGTACTGAGGTATGTCGTTGGATTGAATAGCTGCTCCGCCGGGTATATTGATTATCCTGAGGTAAATCGTCGAGTGGCATAGCTGCCCCACCCACAAAAATCGATCATACTGAGGCGTATCCAGTGGTAAATAGCCTTTTACCCGGACTCGTAAAGAGAGATAAATTGGGGTACTTTCGGTAACGCAAAATCATCGGGCTGAATAAAAACACTGTCGCATTAGGACTCTATCGACCCGAAGCCAATAGGAGCCCGTACGAACGGGCAGTAAACTCGATGTGTCTGATGAGTACACGAGTTAAAGCAAAGTTGTCACTATATATGCACTGAGTGCGGGGAAAGCAACATCCCGCTTGATCTTTCCGGTAGGCATGCCGCTGAGAGGTACCCATCTCCACCCTAGGAGACATACTCCGTACTAACGGAGACGACTGAGCAGTACATGCCTCAATGATGCTGCGGTCAACTGTAAAAAATGCGGGGAAATATCAACCTACTACTTCGACTTCTCGTGGAAACCGACAAGAGTAGGGGATAGAAAAGTAATATTGTGTCAGTGAGAAAGCAACCATTCCGTTGTTAATCAAACCACAGAGTGATGATGAAGTCAAACGCATAAGAGTAACCAGTCTAGTGTTCACGAACCGCTATACGCTCGTTAGAAACACTGTGATAACGGCAGCGGGGCGAGACTCGCTGGGAGATATCTATGATAATTCGCGGTCCTACAGGAGAAGAGTTATAATGACGACGGCCGGTCCGTCTAGAATGACAAAATATACAGGGAAAAGAGACTAAGTCAACGATAGTAGTATATGCTTGGTGTCGAGGAGATAGTAATAGGCATTGTCAAATGGCGGAGCTCCGGTGATGCTTGGGGCTTCTCAGAAAACTCGGGCAAATTGGGCACTTCGAACTTGTTCCGACACAGCGGGCAAGAGGTGCCTCGTAACCGTTGAGACCTTACAGTGAGCCACTCCTCGAGGCACTCGCGGTGGAAGGAGTGACCACAACACAGGACGAAATCGGGACCTTGTTCTAGACAGATACAACAGGGTTCGAGAGACACGGCTTCTAGTGAGGACTCGCGGCAAGGCCTGCCGTTCTGTCCGAGCAACATATCGATCTTACGGCCGACGCTCATTTCGCTCTTAGTCTCACGACGAACCTTCTCGGAGGGACGAGCTGTTGTCCTGGTGTGGAAGAAAAGCATGACAAGTTGAGTAGTAGTGAGTAAAGTGAATGCTAAAACAACGGGAATCGATATTGGTCGGGGCGTAGCTAGTGAAAAACACACATGTTCAATAGAAACGTGAGAGAGAACGAATATTGTTGGCATCACTGTTCGGATAGATGTGCCTTGTAAGGACCTTGTGTGGGACGTCCGAGTCCATTCCGGTCGAGGCAATTTCACCCCAAAAATGATATGAGGATGATCAGACCGGGGATCCCTACGAGTGAAATAATTTGTGGAACTCGCGGGGACGAATCGCACAAGATAAAGCTCGCGAATTCACTAGCTCAGATTCGATACATTTTTCTATCTTCATACAATATCAGTTGGCTTAGTGAACGGTTAATCGCCGAGACATTTGCCGTTTCATCAACAACAATAACACATGAGCATGATATCGTATGCTTCCTCCCAGCCACTTATCCCATGAAGTATATCGCTACGCTAACCTTACGAGCTCTCATGCTCTCCTGACAAGAAGGACGATAGATGGTGCTCACTGCGAGTGGATCAATCATACGAGTTCGCCCATTTTGTGTTCCCTCACGCGTCGTCGGGCTGCGTGAATTAAATAGGTGCGTGCGTGCAAGGTAAGCCACGTCACCGTTGAGCTCATCGCAAGGAGTTGGTGTCCATTACTGTTGTGCTGAGTGGTTGGAACATGTGTATGACCCACCCATCAACCTCTCAGAATATGAAACGGGAATAACTCGACCAATCAGTCATAATCAAGTTATACTGTTTCAGTATTGTTGTGATTTACCAGATGGTTGGTATCATCATTACAACCCTGCACTCGTGTTGAGCCCCCCACCTGCGTCGAAGGCCCCTCCACTGGCACATACGGCCAACTGTTCTTCTCTCCCCTGATTCTGATTAGTGGTGGACATCATCAATTCGGCGTTCTCGTAGCGTTTCTTTCTACCTTCTGCTTGTGCGCTGACAGTCTCAGTCGTGTTGGTCCTCTCTTTTACAGTGAAGGTACAAAGAGTAATCTACGATTGCTATAATTTTTGCATCAATGGCTGCTACGTCCAGCCTTAACTCTTTTCGGTATGGGAACACCCTGATGACATCTACTCCAACTCGACAACACTCCTACGCAACAGTAGAAGGCTTAAAAAATGCTATTATCCTTAAAATTATGCTCATCGAAGTTTTGTAGATTAAAGTCAATCATTTACCGTACACGTACAAGGTATCGGTAAATTGTATTAGTGGCAACCGCGGCCGGAGGTCGTTCTAGTATACATAGTAGCGTCTCGATCGCTCAATAACGTAACGATCCGACTTACAACGACGAAAAAAAAATAGAGAAGAATAGGAATCATTGTGAATGCTGTTGGTCTTGACTGGACTCCGCTTGTGAATCTTTCTCAGGGTGTCTATTCTCAAAATGATGGACCTGTTCGAAAAGGAGTGGTATGACAACTTTCCAACCACACAAACCTACCGTAATTTCAACATCAGCTATCTTATGCGTAGGACCGTCAGCCAGAATGCGCTGTACCGATTCAGAGGCGCCCATGAGAACGAAACCAAGAGAGGCTGGCCGCGATCGGGTTCTCCTAAAAACAACTATTAAAACGAATCTTTCAAAGGCTTACGTCGTATCATGCGGTCCGGGTTGCAATTGCCTTGAATGCGCCACCAGCACCTTACAAACCTAAATGGATAACAATTTCATATCATGCGTAGATCCAACTGAAATGATACTATAACAACCGAACTCAGCAGTGTTGGAGTAAGAATATATGTTCGCATTCCTCAGCTGAGCTCGAGCGTTTCCTCACTAACTATAGAAGTTTACAAGTAAATTACGGTGAAAGTGTATAAATTCGAAGAATTAACTAACACTTGTGGTTGAATATGTGCGAATTTCATACGATGGAATTCAGTTTCGGTTGATCTGAATATTACTACCCCACAACCTCGAAGTTTCAACAGCATAAAAAGAGTTTAATTCCTAAATATACTAAAACCGATACCACACCGAGCTCATGTAGTTTCACGTGAAGTGGCGCCGCAATACTCTGTGAAAGACCCGATATTTCCACTACTGTTTCTTCTCATATCACAGATGAAACTCCGATGATAAAACCAACCCTTACTTGTCCATATCCTTCAAAATATTCTCGTAAAAACACCGGCGACTTGAACCCAAACTTGTGTATGCGTCGTACAATAAATATGCAGTTCTCATCCTCCTCATCCAGCTCTTGTAACAGTGTTCTAACCAAACATCTTACGCACTATGAAAGATACCCCAGCTCACCTTAAAGTGTTTCCGCTCTCTTCGTGCCCCTGCTGCTCCTGTTGAATCGTCGTTTGCTGAACATGTTTACGATGGTGGTGATGATGACGTCTCGGTCCTTCTCCATGTTGCTGGTGCTCTGCATTAGCATAGCCAGATTGGAATCGTGTTTCAGGTGGACTCCTATATATTGACGATGCCGATAGAAGGCTGTCCCCAGTGCTAGGCGGCTCCGGTTTGCTCTGACGAATGTCAGCGTAACATAGATTATCAGGATCAACCTGAAATTAATTTTCCCATACCATAACTTCCACCATTCTTATCACGTTTTCCGCGTCCCTTACGAAATACCCGACCGGTGGTAATATCATATTCCCAGACGGATCCCTTTGCAGTACCATTGGTGCTCCTGACACACGACGAAGTCCCATCCACCAAAATTCTATGAATTCACATGCCGTGATATGAAAAACGCATTTCACCCTGCAGAAAACAATCGTGTTATCGGGAATGAAAACCTATATACATGGAGTATTACACCACTTCACGTTAAACCCGCTAAACTCCAATACAACTCGATAGAAACAACCTTCTCCCGTGCGCTATCCATCACGCGATAATACTGTACTATTAGATTTTTAGCTTCATACCATGCCATTTTATGATATAAAACTGATGCATGTGTTGCACCAATAGTGAGCATAGCAAACGATCCCACTTTGAAAACTTTCCGGTGAAAACCAGTTTCGGAATTTTAAAAAAAGTTTCCCATATCGAATTTCTAAAATCCAAAATTCTCAAGTGTTTCTCGCGGAAAATTCAGTCCATCTTAGTATTTTCAAGGAGAATTTTCCCGAAAAAAGGTCCTAAACAATATGAAAAAAAGCGCTAGGAATAGCAGGAGAAAGCAAACATGTGTTACAAAATAATGGAGTTCCACCACCACCCAAGTGATATGAAACACACTAGTGAAAAATATATTTCACGACTATTGCATATCACCGCGAATATTGGGTTTTTTCACAGAGTATTACGCCACTTCACGTAAAACGGGTGGAACTCCTGTATATCAAAGCCCCAGTGCTAAAATAACTAAGCCTGTCAATCCCACTATCACCCATTTTCATCGGTGATTGCATCTGCATGGTAACAATATAAAAATTAAGGAAATTTTGAAAAATTCTTTTTGGTGGCTATACATTTCTACCCGAATTGGTATGTTAACTCCTGCAGTAGTGAATCTGCTGAGCTCAGCTGAAAAAAGCGTGGTGAAATAACTAACCCCATTATCACCCATATTCATCGGCGACTGCGGCATTCCCCTTCCATCGGAGGATAATGAGCGTATACTGTTGGTTGGTGATCCTCCTCCACTACGTATCATACCAGGATGATAGGCACCATAGTAGGTTGCCGCTGCTGCTACGGGTGATGGCGATGGGTAACGCTATAATGACAACAACAAGATGATACTACTATATAACGAGTACCACTCCAATATGAATCCATAGACGACAAACATGTCATAGGCCTCCCCCCGTTAGCCTCCAGTTAGACTCGTTTGAAGCCTTGTAAGCCATCATAATACAGCCCCCTGTATTACATATGCCTGCTGTTGTTGCTGGGGTATTGCCCCATATGGTAGCTGGTAAACTGGAGGAGCATACTCCCCCATAGAGCCTTGTTGCTGAGGGACCTGAACACATCCATAATAGCACGTAGAACATAGTATATTTCATAACAGGCTCATAATAAGAAAGCAAGAGTGATGACAATATGTATATAATCGAGTCGCGTTGTATTGCCTACAGATTGTGAAAGGGGTGATGCATAAGGCCCTCCTACTCCAGTGTAGACTGGTGACTGTATCGGCGGCGCATAAGCCTGTGGCTGAGAAGGGACCACAAACAGTATTTACATACCACTCCTTGGCAAACTTACATAGCCTATAGGAGCGAAGCTTCCTACTGAACGCACCGAGCTGGCAGGTGACTGAAATTAAACTTCACTTACTCCCCCCTACTCCCATATACTACCTGTGGAGTCATTTGTGGAGTGCCCGGATGATGATATAAAGTTTGGTAGTATGCTACTGGGGTACCAGGCTGGGACATGGGGGTGCCTGGTTGGGGGGACATGTTGCGGTTCGAGCAAGATCCCATGGGAAGCCTTTCTTGCTGCTGTGGATGAGCATATGCGTTGTTGGTATTGTCGTTACCATACATTGTATTATAATTAAAGAGCCTTTACGACACTAAAGAGAAGCATTTCCCATACCACATATCGACGACCACAGTCACTTCTGTTCAAGTAAATAACTCCATGAAAGTTGATCCCAGAGTAATTTCGATTCAAGTTTAACTCTGAGACATGGAAAGGTTCCCTCCCTAAGGTCATCCAGTTTACAGATTCCGAAATCTCATAATCAATTCTCATACGCATAATACGACGCGATTCAGTGAGCATGGGGCCTGTCACTCCTGTCGGCGGGAGTGACATCAGCACGTAATGAAATAACATAAAAACGTCACGTGCGCGGATCGAACCTGTGCGGTTCAGTAAAATCACAATTGTAGATCGATGCTACACCACTAGGCCATCCATCTTGGCAGTCTAGGTTCCTTCACATCCGAGGTATGCTACTAGTCTGACTCTCACTGATCAGAAATCGTCTGCAAGTTCTCAACGGTATACTACACAAGATTGCAGCTAAGGAATCTCATCTCAAAATAGTATCTCCTCCACTACACCAATAGTGATTATTGAAACCCTGGGTTAATGTCGGACCTATTACATCAGAAAGGCTCCTTAAGGTGGATCTCAAATCACAGGGAGGGCTCTGATGCTACCTTGCCTTTGATCATAAGCCCTTGCGGTCTTACTTCGACAACCCAGCTCCAGACACACACAAGGACCTCGGAGGTTAAGAGTGTCTCCAACGGCGAGTACTATTTCTTGTTAATGGAGTTTCATACCAGCCACCGGGTGGTCCTATATAATATTAAATTTGCTTGAAATCCTCTCTCAGTTGAGTATTGTGTACGGCGCCGCTGTTCGAGACCCGATGGTTTTAGTGTATGTACTGCAGCATTATACGGGAGCTCTGTAATTCTCGGTAACGAGGCATTGTACTCTAGCAGTATATTGGTTACAGTGTTGGAGGAATATATGTTCGCTTTCCCTCAGCTGAGCTCAGGAGTTTTATCACTAATTATAGAAGTTTGCATACGAATTCAGGTAGGAGTGTACAGACACCAATGAAAATTTCCCGAAATTTCTTCAGAATTTTCATAGTGTCACCAACACATGTATTTGATTTCCCAGTGATATGTATACAACCATATGCTTCCTATTCTTTCATAAGTTGAGTCGCGTTGTAGTCTTTATGGTTAAGTAGTTTTCATCTCTTTGAGATGTTTAACAACGTGTTGAATTACCTCACTAGTAACAAGCTAGTAAGTTCCTACCAAGTAGATAAGGACCCGGCCTGCTATGGAAACGAACTGCGTTGGAAGGTACTAGTATAAGAGATATCGTAAATTTATTAAGAATTTTCCGAGTGGTGACAGTGGGAAACTCCAAGCACTATGTATAGGGTTTCACTCCATAGATTTATATATTATTGCTATTTTCATAGATTTATATATTGCAGTTTCACTCGTTTCACGGGAAGTGACTCAATACCCTGCGGAAAAAGCCAACATTCGCGGTATGTAGTAGTCGTGAAATAAATTTTTCACTAGCGTTTTTCATATCACTAGGGTGGTGAAACTCCATTATTTTTCATCATCGTTTATATATATCATTTCTATTGTCAGTTTGCGGTAAATCGATCTTCTTTGGTTGCACCGGTATTCATGTTTTCAATAGGAAGGAAGTGTCCCTAGTAAAGTTTTAATTTTCAGTTGTATAACGCGAAGCGACCAAAGTCTAGTGTAACAGCACCGATGGGGGGAGGCCCGGCTGGAGATGATACTTGCCTAACAGTGTTCCTATTCGAGAAGAAAACTCTTGATACGAAGCAGTACCCCAAGGATTACAGGGATAGGGTGGGTCGGAGAGATCCCGGGTTCGATCCCTGCACATGTCATCATCAGATATTATCATCGTTAAATAAAGAAGCAACAGTCCTACAGCGACTACGACACCCGAATATCCTATCTGTGATTGGTAAGAGCTCCTATGATGTTCGCGAGGTGTGGTATGAGCATCATTTTGTTAGATCCACTCAGTGATGATCGCCAGAGCATGGCGTTTGTGACGAGGCGTGTTAGTCAAACTCTGGGCACCATTTTGGCAACTGATAGGAAACAATTGTCAGTGATAGAGATACAAACAGGTAGTGTCAGCCGGCTAATCACGTGGACGCCAGGACGTACAATGCTGATATCATGTGTTGGAGGAATATATGTTCGCTTTACTCAGCTGAGCTCGAGAGTTTCCTTGTTAATTATACAAGTTTACATATGAATTCGAGTAGAAGTGTATAGAAACCAACAAGGCTCTCCCGAAATTTTTTCAGAATTTTCATATTGTCAACAACACATGTAGTTTAAAATATATGCGCATACATTGTATCGGTCATTCGATCATCAGCAATACCGGGAATATGGTTTCAGGTTTACTGGACGTTGCGTCGGCTCTAGAGTTTCTTCATCATGCTAATACGTGTCACCTTGGTTTGTGCCCTAGTGCGGTAAGTGATATTAATAATATGGTTGGTTTACTTCATGTGAGTGTAATAATTCAGATCTTTATCACTCCAAATGGTCGGTGGGTGTTGGGTGGAATGGCGTATAGTCAATCACCAGTAGAGCCGGGCAAGATGGTGCCGTGCCAAGTGAAGTTTAGAGGAATAGGAGGGATGGCTGGTGGAATGGTATTAAACGAGCCTCCCATAAGGTACACCCGGGTTCGATCCCTGCGGGGTGCATTTTTATCCACAGATATGCGGCTCCTGAGATGACCACCGGCTACAGCAGTTCTTGTGGGCAGTGCAGTGACGTGTTTAGTTTCGGCCTCATAGCGTAAGTGCATACCACGCTGATTCGAATCCAGGTTGTGTGTGAATTTTTTTCTT